TGAGCTCAAAGAAAGGGGTGCCAGTTCCCTACAAGGCCAGGGTAGGAAGCAGGGATGTCAAAAGAAATAGAAGGGCCAAGGACAACGGGTGTCCTATCCCAGGTGGGGAAGGGACCCAAAAGTCCCTAGGTCCTGAGATGCACAAGGGCTAGGTCAGGCCCTTCACACTTTTAATTCAACTCTGAGCTCAAAGAATGGGTGGCTGCAGCTACAGGGGTGCCAGTTCCCTACAAGACTAGGGTAGGAAGCAGGGATGTCAAAAGAAATAGAAGGGCCAAGGACAACGGGTGTCCTATCCCAGGTGGGGAAGGGACCCAAAAGTCCCTAGGTCCTGAGATGCACAAGGGTTCGGTCAGGCCCTTCACACTTTTAATTCAACTCTGTGGAACCAGACACTGGTATCCTCACAGATGAAGTCACCAAGCCCATTCCACTTGGGGCTCTGAGATGAGGATGCAACTGCCCATTTCTCTTGGCCGGGAAGGGCATTCCTAAAGTTCATTCGCAGGGGAGCACAGGGATCCTGACATAGATGAAAAAACGAAGGCACTCTCAGAAGGGTGGGGTGTCAGGCAAGGAAGACACCTTCCAGGGAACCAAGCTGTCCCCAAGTTTGTTAGGGTACACCTTCACTGCAGAAGTGCAAATGAGAAGCCCAGAGAAAGGGAATCGAAGACTCTGCCAACCATAGGACAAGGTAAGGATGGAGAACAGTTTCCACACATTAGGAGGTAAGTGAATCTGGGATTTGAAGCCAGGTTCGTTTCAAGTCCATGTCGCCTCAAATAAGAGGCAAGAGCCGCAAGCGGTCTCCAGCCAGTGCGCTTGGACTAATCACGTCCTCCCTGGTGTAATAGATAAAAGCTGCATGTATGAGTCGGTGGATCACTCCTCAGGTAAAGAGTCGTAATTCTAGGATTTGTTTATTAAAGGCTTATTGACCCTCGGTAGCCTCTTCCAGGCCCGCCTCCGCTGCTTCCCGCGCCCAGCACAAAGATGGCGGGTCTGTGGTCACCGCAAGCGGTGAACCCGATCCGTGTCGGAATTCCGCTGCTGTAGTTCAGCGGCCCGCTAGTGCTGACGCGTACCGACGTTGTGCGCCTGCGCAGAGAAAGCCGCGGGTAGGGCGCCTGCGCAGTGCGCGCCTTCGAGCTAGAGTCAGACCCAAGTGGAGATAGCTGGTGGTGGGTGGTTAGAGTTGTCGCAACCCGGCGGGTGTGAAAGGGATCGGGAGTCCTCCCGCCAGCGACCGATCTAAGTTCAGCAGCGGCCGGGGAAGTAGCCGAAGTCCGGACGCGGCATGTCCTCGGTGCCTCGGGGCTGACAGTGAAATCGCGGCGGGCGGGATGGGCCGGCGCCGGGCTCCAGAGCTTTACCGGGCCCCGTTCCCGTTGTACGCGCTTCAGGTCGACCCCAGCGCGGGCCTGCTCATCGCTGCGGGCGGAGGAGGCGCTGCCAAGACCGGCATAAAGAATGGAGTGGTGAGAGCGCCAGGCCAGTAGGACCGGGTCACACCGCGGGCTGGGGACAATTCCGGGGCCGCAGGGGTGGCCCGCACCCCAGCTTCGGGTCCTGCCCATTTACGGTGGGAAAACCCGGCATACCGGGAACCCCCGTGCGAATTTCAACCGAGAATTTTACTCAGCAGGCGGTTGAGAGACTCGGAAGGAGGAGTAAAAGCTGCACACCCGCCGGTTAGGCAGGAATGCCTAAGCTACACCTTGCGAACAGCTCCAGGGGTGTTATCCGGGCTTTTTCTTGTTGATCTGCCCTGTAGCAGACTCCAGCGCTGCTGTTGGCCCTTAGGCTACCTAGGTTCCCTCTGTGTGTGTGTGTGTGTGTGTGTGTGTGTGTGGTGTTAGGGATTGAACCCAAGGTCTTGTGCCTGCGAGGCAAGCACCCTACCAACTGAGCTATATCCCCAGCCCCGGTTCCTTCACTTTTTGGAGTTCCACCCTGTTTGTCTGTAAACTGAAGATAATTATCCCAGCCTGCTTGCTATACAAATTTGGAAGCCCCCCCCCCCCAAAAAAAAAAAAAAGATAAACAGCTCGAAAAAACCCTGTGAACTAGAAAGTGCAGTGATCAAAAAGGGTAAGAACTAAGAGAAGTTTGCCTTGCATGTGCTCCGGGCACCCCTGAAATTTGCCCATCCTTGTTCCCTCTCTCATAGCACTTTCTGCAGCTAGAAAAAATTAATGGGCGCCTAAGCGCTTCCCTGCTGCACTCCCATGACACGGAGACACGGGCTACCATGAACTTGGCACTGGCGGGTGATATCCTTGCAGCAGGGCAGGATGCCCACTGTCAGCTCCTGCGTTTCCGGGTCCATAAGCAGAAAGACAACAAGGCAGAGAAGGCAGGTGAGGAGCTTTGGAAAAAGGGTTAAATGAATAAGATCACTTTCATCTTTGTCTTTAAAGAAGTGAAACTGCAAATAAGGTCATGTTAGCAGCTAGAAGCTGTAGAAATCCTTGCCATATAGAGAGCGACCAATTCTATTTAATACAGAGGGCTGGATCCTGGCAAGCTGTTTGTGTTGCAGGTTCCAAGGAGCAAGGGCTTCGACAAAGGAAGGGGGCAACTCCAGCAGAAAAGAAATCAGGAGCTGAGACCCATCCTGAGGGGGGAGAGCTCAAGGTTGAGAATTTGCAGGCAGTGCAGACAGACTTCGGCTCTGATCCACTGCAGAAAGTTGTGTGTTTCAACCATGATAACACCTTGCTTGCCACTGGAGGAACAGATGGCTTCGTTCGTGTCTGGAAGGTGTGACTTTGGGGGTTTAGGGAAGATGAATGGTAGTTGCAACAAGACCAAAATTGTAAAAATCTGAATGAGTTCTGGGAAACTTGTGAGTGGCCATTGAAGAAGAGGGGTGAGGATCATAGTGCTCTTGCTATCTGGCCTAATCAGGTTGGTGGCTTGGCTGCAGGTACCCAGCCTGGAGAAAGTTCTGGAGTTCAAAGCCCATGAAGGGGATATTGAAGACCTGGCTTTGGGGCCTGATGGCAAGGTGAGGTGGAGTGTGGGAAGGGGATGCAGAAAGGAGTAAGGAGGTGCTTATACTGTTTGCACAGGAAGTAGATCCCTAACTAGCCATCTCTGGAATCTTTATTCCTAACTAGTTGGTAACTGTGGGCTGGGACCTTAAGGCCTCTGTGTGGCAGAAGGATCAGCTACTGATGCAGCTGCACTGGCAAGAAAATGGACCTACCTTTTCTAACACGCCTTACCGCTACCAGGCCTGCAGGTATGAAGACCCTGACGGTGGCTAAAAGAGGCATAGCCTAGCTATGGTGGGGGAGAGGGAAGACTGGAGGACAGGATGAGAGGAGGAGGAAGTGTGGCCTTGCCAGGTTTTAACATCCAGCATGATTAGGGACAGGAGTGCACAAACCTCTGAAGAAGAAGACCCAGGAGCTGAATAGTCCCTTGCTTGGCTCCTAGGTTTGGGCAGGTTCCAGACCAGCCTTCTGGGCTGCGGCTCTTCACAGTGCAGATCCCCCACAAGCGGCTGCGCCAGCCCCCACCTTGCTACCTCACAGCCTGGGATGGTTCTTCCTTCTTGCCTCTTCGTACCAAGCCCTGTGGCAATGAAGTCATCTCCTGCCTCAGTGTCAGGTATGAGACAATGGTGGCTTGGCTGGGCAGAGGGGTCCTGGGGGAGTTTGGGAACAGTCCTGCCTGAGTTCCTGAAGATAATGAGCCTTTTGTTGTTTGTTACAGTGAATCGGGCACCTTCCTAGGCCTGGGTACGGTCACTGGCTCTGTAGCTATCTACATAGCTTTCTCTCTTCAGGTAATGGGTGGACATTGGCATAGCCCTGTGGGAAGACTGTTGGCTACTCTACCCTGAGTGCCAGAAGGGATCTGGCCCATCCATAGGGGAAGCCTGGTGGGGGTGGGCAGAATGTCTCCCAGAGGGAACGCTTCTAACTGGGCTTTCCCTCACTATTTTTCTTCCTATCTTCAGCGCCTCTATTACATGAGGGAGGCCCATGGCATTGTGGTTACAGATGTGGCCTTCCTACCTGAGAAGGGTCGTGGTCCAGAACTTCTCGGGTCCCATGAAACTGCCCTGTTCTCTGTGGCTGTGGACAGTCGTTGCCAGTTGCACCTGTTGCCCTCAAGGCGTGAGTCATTGGGGGTTTGGGTTCCTGTCCCACCTTTAGCTGTAGCAGAAACTCACCCATAGAGAATAGCTGCTTGTTTGCTTTGTTTATAGCCATCCATCTGCCTCCTCCTTAACAGGTTGAAGGTTTTGGTCTTCAGTCTCTGAAGCCCCTTTGCTCATTTCTCTCACCTCTACCCACAGGGAGTGTTCCTGTGTGGCTGCTGCTCCTGTTATGTGTCGGACTTATTGTTGTGACCATCCTGCTGCTCCAGAGTGCCTTTCCAGGTTTCCTTTAGCCTCTTTAGCCCCTGGGAATCAGGGGCCTGGACACTGCCACCTTCAAGAGCAGAATAGAGGCCTGGACTCCTATTACTCCATTTGGATCCATAGTTGAAGCTGCCTCTGATGAGACTGATGGGCCCTGCTTGCCCTTCTCTGTTAAAGCTTGGTTGTGGCCCTGTGTGATTCTGGGTCCTGGGAGCCCTGGATTCATCACCTGTGGGTCCACCCAAGACACTAATGTCTAAAGCCTGGATCATAAATACTACCTGCCTCCTTCCCTCTGTCTACCAGAGGCTCCAGTGTTGAGCTTGTCCTCCTCCAGGAACATGTGAAGATGCTGAAGACCCTGGAGGTACTGCCGTCCTTCTTAAAGAAACAATCTGTTTCTCCTCCCCTCACAGCCTTCAAATGATAACCCTGGTCTTTGTTGAGACAAGGACTGGCCTGGCACCTACTGTTAAGGCAGGAAAGGGCAAAAAGAGGACTCAGGTAGCAACCTCTGAGTTCAGGTGGGTAGTGCTAAGCCAACCAGGCTAAACAAGCAGTAAGTTCCTGGATGGTCTACCCCGGCCTTGAAGAAAGGGAAAAATGAACCTCAGCCCAGTAGGCAAGAAGAGTTGATATTTAATAAACAAGGGAAGATTGAACTGAGATCCCAAATGTACTCTTGTCAGCTCTTTATGTCCCCAGAAGGTGGGAGTGCCTTTAGGTCAGTCAGCTCTGCTGGATGCTGGAAGATGGCACTGGCATACTGATGCAAGAGGCGGTTCATGTAGCAGTGCTGCCAAGGCAGCAGCCCTTCCATGAAACCGATGTGGCCACCCCGAGCTGTGATGAGCAGTGCAACCTGGGGAGAGCGCTGGGCAGCCTGTAGGGGTAAGGCTGGGAGGGAGTCAGAAAAGAGGTTAGGGACCTGGTATTTAATGAGAACCCAGTTTTTCCACCTGTACCTCATGGTCCACTTTCTCTGAGGTTAAGGTTTCATGATTCAAGCTACTCACCATGGACTGGGGAGAAGGGGTCATCTGCTGCATTGAGGCAGAGCACAGGGATCTGGATGGCATTGACCTTGGTTCTTGGGCTTGATGCTTGGTAATAGTCATCACAGTCTTTATACCCAAAGGCTATAGATGTGTAGCGCTCATCAAGCTGGCGGATTGTGCGGGCCTATGTGGTAGGGGCAGGAGGGGCTAAGATAACAGAAGAGGAAGACAGTGGTAGAGTAATATTGGGGCTGAGGATGGTTGAAAGATTATACCTGTAGCACAAAGTCTACATCCACCACGTTTTCAATTGTCCTTCTATTTCTGGAAAAGAGTATAATCAGGGTTTATCTTGACTCCTGCTTATGGCCCAAAGCCTTTAGCCTGTTGTACTATCTCATACATGAGAAAGCCTAGGTAAGAACTGACCAAGTATTGGGAAAGCCTGGCACATCTGCTGTCCTGCCCTCTCTTCTGCTCCCTCCTATTTGCAAAGACCCTCCCTACCTGTTCACAAACTGGCAGAGCCCAGCAGTGAGGGGCCCATTGAAGAGCAGTGAGTTGAGGGGGGTCTCCAAGGAGTGAGAGGTCTCAAAGGAATCCCAGCATGCAGATAGAGTCAGTCCTGCCACCAATCCCGCAGCCTTCCCAGTTCGTGCCAGGTAGTTCAGCACCAGTATCCTGCAGGATTGGACAAGGGGCCATGAAAGAAGGTTTGCACGAGTGAGTTGGGATGGAGAAAGAAAGGACATGGAGGTGGAAAGAAGGGAAGACTGGGCCTTTGACTTAAACCCAGGCAACCATTACCCTCCAAAAGAGATGCCCACAGCCAGCAATGGAGCTTGGGGGTAGCGGTGCTTTATGAGGTTCACAACTGTCTCTAGATCTTCAGTATTGCTGGCACAATATGCCCTGTGGGTCTAAGGGCAAATGGGATTATTGGACAGGGAGGGAGGAGACTAGAAGGCAGCAAAATGGAAGGGCTTAGGAGGTGGTGGGGAAAGGGAGGAAGGGTAGGTAGGCAGGATGGTAGGGCCCCAGGGCCAAGTGTCTCAAAAGGGAGCAGATACATAGCCATCATGGGGAAGGAGGGTACTCACCAGCAGTTCTTCCCCACGGCAGCCCCGGTTATTAAATACGACAGCTCTGGGGGCATAAATAGGTACATCAACCAGACCTTCCCCTTTTGATCCCCTCCCCTTTTGATAGTCTTCAAAGAGACCCCTGTTAAGACTCCCTTCCTAAAGCTCTCCATCAGGATTGGACTGACTTCTCCCTATTACAACTTCTCAGGCTCCCCAACTCCTGAACTGTGCCCATCCTTACCTGTAGCCGTCCCTTAAAGCTTGGCTTGCCAGGTGTAAAATGTATGTCTCTTGGCTACTGCCACTGATGCCAGGAAGCAGCAACACAATGGGCTGGGTGGCAGGATCAGAGTAGTGACTGCTGGTGGGCTGCTCTGCCCAGTCTAGCATGAACTGGCCTCCATCTGGAGTTTGGAGGACTTCACTGTGGTTTGGAAGAGATGGGCACACAAAGATACTACTAGGGATTTGATGTACTTCAAAAGTTCATCCCCTGCCTCACCTACATGTCCAAGAGTTTCCCACTAGCATCATTTGAAGGTATGCTTATGTAAAAAATAAGACTGACCAGAATGGGGCATGAGATTGAATATTACCTCGTGGTGTGCAATCAGAGAGCCCTTCCATTTACTCAATCTCACTGTGCCCTCAACACACTGAGGTAAATGGAGCAAAGATTACCTTCCTTTAAAAGAGGTAGATAGGTTTCCCCTAGGGACTCGCAGCTTCATGTCCACCCCATTCTGTCCCTTCTTACCTCTGGTAAGGGACTAGGGGCTGAGACTGTAGGAGGACTCGAAAGATGGTTTGTAGCCGTCCCTCAAAACACCACAGTGTGGGGTAGAAAATTTCCATAGTGATTGGACAGTGTTGCTCCAGGAAGGCCAGAAACTGGGGTCCAGCCACCAGGCGAGGCCTCTGTAATTATATAGCATAATCTTCCTTGATTTTTGCCCCATAATCTTCCTTGATTTTTGCCCCAAGCTTGTGAGGCACCCAGTACCAGGAGGTGAGTAACCCTTCTCCCCAGAGATCAGCCTAGCGGACCCTGCTTTGTCAAGTGACATATCTACCACATCTTAGTCACAAATGGCCATGAACAGTCAGCCAGAATTCCACAGAACCCCAGTCCTGGAGTGTCACCTCTCCCAAATTGACCCTAAACTGAGAGCTGCTGCAGCTGAGTGCTGACTGCCCCGCTCAGCCTATCCCTGCTCCCAACCCACTTGGGAGACAGCAGGTAATATAAAGCTGATCCCCTGTAGGAAGAGCTGGGGTTGTGAGTAGGGGCTGAAAAAATGTAGCACCATTGGCAGTCTTTTCCTTGCTGTCTTCTTCCTGAGGTGCCCTCTGGCCATAGGCCCCTCTGGATTTTAGTACCTCATCTGCATATTCCTGTTGTTCCTAATGTCTCTGCTCACGTTGAAGGGCTTCTTTCTACAGGGCACCTACTATTAGACCTTTCTTTACAGAAAGAACAGTCTTCATGTAAACAAATATTTTTATTCATGCCAGCCAGGACAAAGAGCACAGCAATGGGATAACAGGGGCAGATGAGATTAGTCAGTACTGACCTAACTTTCGCTTTCCCTGCTTGGTTCAGAATAGGCCTCAAGTGAATGAAGGCCCAGCCACATAGAAAGCTTAAGAAGGAGTATGTGGAACAGGCAAAAGGCCTCAGCCTCAGTAACAGAAATTGCATTTCAGAGGAACTTGCTCGGATTCCTCTCTTTTCTTACAATCCACATGCTCAAAAGGGACTGGGCAAATGATAAGATAAACCAGAGAGGTCAAGTTAATAGTGTGACTTTTGGGAGATATGACTTGGACCCTGCTCCTTAAACCCTGGAATAAAAGTAATGACTCACAGGGTGCTAGATGCACTAGTTTAAGCCAACCTTATGAGATAAGATATAAGTGAAGAAGTTATGATTCTCAAAGGTCATCTGGTTTACCCAGTCACATAGCAAACAAGAGGCAAGGCAGAATTAATAATTATGGTATCACAGTAATACTTGTAGGTAAAATCTGGAGTGCTCATTATGTTCTAGGCATTGTGCTAATAAGCACTTTACATGATTTTATTTTATGATTGTCATAATGGTTCTTTAAGCTCTATGATCCCTCTCTGTGAAGAGTCTGAAAGTCAAATAACTTGTCAGAAGTCAAACTTGGGGCACTTGACCACTGAGCCACATCCCCAGCCCTGTTTTGTATTTTTATTTAGAGACAGGGTCTCACTGAGTTGCTTAGTGCCTCAATTTTGCTGAGGCTGTCTTTGAACTCTCGGTTCTCCTGCCTCAGCCTCCTGAGCTGCTGGGATTACAGGCATGCTCCTGGATCAAACAACAGCTTTGTGTCAGAGCTGAAGATTCAAATCCAAGATGTTCTGACTCTAGAACTGAGCCATTTAGTCACTGTACTATATTACCTCCTAATTGCCAAGATTTTGAGTTGCTATCAACTTATTAAATCCTCACACAGCTCAGTAGTAGAGAACAAGACCAACAAATTATTTTCCAGGCTTGACTTATGTGAGTTAGCCTCTTGATCTCTAGCAAAATGTTTATTGACTCAATCCTAGTAACATGCCATTGGCTGCTGTGGATAAATCAGTACTAATCCATTACCATGCTGGACAGCCTAAATTCCATGTCCTCGGGCTCTCCAGAATGGTACTTTCCTTGCATCAGTATCTGGAAATCAAGAAAGGGTTTGGAGTATAGAATAAGGACTCTGCTGTGTGGCTGGATGCAAGCAAAGAAAAATGTTTTATTCAGGACAGGTCTGATCTGACCATCTTTCCAAATCTGCTGTGTAAGGTGAGGCTTAACAGTATTGTGAGACTATGGGATTTTAAACTTTTTATTAAGGAAGGCTTATTATTATTATCCATGGTGAGGATCAAGTCCAGGGCCTCAAGCATGCTAAGAACACACACTCTACCACTGATCTACACATCCAGCCCAAACTTATAAGATAGTGTCTTGATATGTTGCTCAGGCTGGTCTGAACTCTTGAGCTAAAGCAATCCTCCTGCCTCAGTCCTAGCCCCAACAGCTGTGACAACAGGTGCAAGAGCCACAGGGCCCAGCTCCTATAGGCCTTTTATTTACATTTGTGTGTGTGGGAGGGTGGGGGGTATTATTGGGGATTGAACCCAAATGAGGCACAAGACCTTTCCCACTGAGCCACATCCCCGATCCTTTTTATTTTTTAATTTGAGTCAGGGTCTCACTAAATTTCTTAGGGCCTCACTAATTTGCTGAGACTGGCCTGGAATTTGTGATTCTCCTGCCTCAGCCTCCTAAGCCACTGGGATTACAGGTGAGCACCACCACACCAGGCTCCTATAGGCCTCTTTTAAGGACTTGAATCAATAGGTTTCTTGTTGAGACTCAGCTAGCTGAAACAGATTTTTAATGAAGATCAAAAGATTTTTCTGTACTTATAAAATTTCAGTAAGAAAATCCCCAAATTGATCAAAATCAGCCTCTTGATACTTTTTCATCACACTATATGTGGAGAACTTAATACAGGGCTGAATGTACATAGACAGTTAAGGTTATCCATCAGGTCTGACAGCCCTCAAAGGAAGGGAGCCTTTATTGGGCTGATGGAGGTGGTCCTGGGATTGCCTACAAACCACAGGCCTGTTTCCATCATTCAGTGCTGCTAATGAGAAAACTGCCAGACCACCTAAAAAGGAAATCGGAGTATGCACGTCTCTTTTGACACTTCAGGATGTCTTTCACCCTGCCTTTCCCCAAATGCCTGTCCACATGGTGCCCAGCCGGATCAGCTGGCATGGGAGAATGCAGAGAATCTAGGGAGGCAAAGAACTGACTCTCCATTAAGTGATAAAAGCAAATTTCACCTGAGGCACGAGACCTAACCATTAAACTTTTCACAAAAGGCTCGAATTCCGGTTGGAAGTGGCTCCCTACACCCGAGTACCCCAAACCCACCGTTCAGAGCGCTGGGCTCGCACCCACCTGGAGCACACACGCCCAATAGTAGCCCAAGTAGAGGGCAACGCCAAGAGCCAAAAACAGAGAGAATGTCTCTGTCCATGTGCCGTTCTGGGAGCTCAGGGAGGAACTCAGCATCTTGGGTAGGGAGCTCCCAACTCCCAAGCTCCCGACCGGCTCCAGATCCTGAACCTTGACTCTTCCGCTCGCAGTTCGGCGTCTGCCCCGCCCCTTTCACACCATTGGTCGGTCTTCAAAGACCCGCCTCCCGCCTGTGCTGGGAATGGAGCGACGAGAGGCGGTGCCAGGGCGCTGAGTGAGCTGCGTAGCTGCCCTCACTGAGGCAGCACCAATGACTTGCCAATGGCCTCCGGCCCCCTCTTCCTTACCTCCCAAGTCCCCTTCGCGGTTACAAGCGTGCAGCTCAAGGACAAGCAGCCTCTCCCACGGCTGCCATCTTGCGAGCCATCTCTGGCTCCTTCCTCAAACTTCCCCTGCAACAGCAAAATCAAACATCCTGGTCAGAACTCTCCAATTACTCAATCACACTCTGGGCACAGCCATCCTTGTGGGATACTCTGCCCTGCCATGCAGAGTATATTCACAGTGACCTTCATACACAGGGTACAACCACTGTCCAACTGTGACAACCCCAAACTGTTACGCGCTCCGGATTTTGATGCTCAGTGGTGGCAATCCAAATCCCAGGTTAATGTCATTCCTGCAGTGTCACTCTGTTGTCTCATACAATCCCTGCCAATAGTAGTCATACAAAAGATACTTTACTCATCATTCACTCTGTACCAGGCACTGGATATAGATATCCCAAGGATTCTGATCCTGTCTTCATTGGGATAGAGTAATAAGCAACATAGAAGAGCTATGGTTTTCTACCTTGATTGCAGATGAGAATCACTTGGGAGTTGTATAAACTGTCAGTGCCCATATCCCACCTCTAATAGAGTTGATCTGAAGAACATCTCAGGTATCAATGTATATAGACGATTCGAATATGTCCTCAGGGTTGAACCTCTACTATAGGGAGTGATGCTAGAACAAGGAAGTACTTGCTGCCATAGTGGCACTGAGGAGGGTGCCCAAGTTTCATTGGGAAGGGGACAAAAAAATGAATAGGAGTTACCCAGGCAAGTGGGAGGTGGGAGTGCTAGCTCCGGGATAAGTGAGAGACTTCTTAAGGGAGCCAAAAGATATTTGGTGTAGCTGAGCACAAGGGTGGCCAAGGACCAGGTGGTTAGCAGCTGCAGAAAGAAGTTAGAGTTTATCTTAAAGGCAGAGGAAAGCCATCAAAGGAGTTTAAAAAGGGTTGATTGATGAGATCAGACTTATGTTTTTAAAGAATCCCTTAGGCTACTCGGGTTGGGGAAGAAGGAAAACAAGCAGAAAAAAACAGAAACAGAGAGACCAATGGGGAGGCTGTTACCCAAACTCCAGTAACAGAAGATGGCTGCCTAGACTTGAGGACAGCTAGAGAGAGGAGTGAAAATCTTCAAGATAGACAGGTGCAGGGGCACACACCTGTAAATCCCAGCAACTCAGAAGGCTGAGGCAGGAGGATCACAAGTTCCCCAGCCTCAGCAACTTAGCAAGGTCCTAAGCAACTTAGTGAGAATCTGTCTCAAAATAAAAATTTTTAAAAGGGGCTGAGGATGTATCTCAGTGGTAAAGTGCTCTTCAGTTCAATCCCCAGTACCATTAAAAAAAAGCATAAAAATAAATCTTCAAGATAGGATGTGCTAGTAGTTGGAGATGGGGCAGAAGGAGAAATATGGATGACCCTCCCAGGTTTGCAACTACACAGAGGCAGGGATGTTTGCCCTGGGATGGGGAAGCCATGAGAGGGAAAGGTTTGAGGAGAAAAAGGATGCATTCAGACTCAGACATGTAGAGTTGAGGTGCTGGTAGTTGTTCCGTGTTTTCTTAGATTCTGTATTTTTCTATTTGGCATCAACTAATCTCAGGGTCTAACTAGTGGCCAGGGTTGTTACATTTCCCCTGTGATCCAGAGCCCATACTCTGAGCCACTTCCTTTATTTAACTCTCACACTCCAAACCAATATTTCCCTTACCCTAAATCACCCCAGGACCTGGTGCCACACAACTAGGGATAACCCCAACATTCTGAAGCTCTCCAGAACTATTCAAACTAGCTAATCCTAAACATCCCCCTACTCTTCCTTGCCTTTCCCACGAAGACCCCAATAAAGGCTGAGGCCTTTGCCTTCTTGCTTCTGCCTGCCTCCTGAAGCACTGGTGCTTCTCCTTGCAGCCAAGCATGGCTTGCCTTGCCTCTCATCTCTAGGGTAACTGTGAATAACATTAAATTTTCTTTCAATGGCACTGACCTCTCAAATTAGTAGGTTCTTACTTACAAATGGAAATTAGAGATTTGCTAGTCATTAGCATTTAGATGATGCATTAATTTACAGGGTTGCTAGAACAAAGTATTGTAAACAACAGAAACTACTGTCTTAACACTTCTGGATGCTAGAAGTCAAGATCAAGATGTCAACACAGTTGATCCTCCTGAAGGCTGTGAAGATCTGTTCCATGCATGCCTTTCCCCTAGCTTCTGGTGGTTTGCCCACAATCCTTAGTGTTCCTTGGCTTGTAGAAGCATTACCTGCATCTCTATCTCCCTTTTCACGTAGGTTTGTCTTAGTCTCTATGGGCTGCTATAACAAAATACCACAAACTGGGGAAATTTATAAGCAACAGAAATTTATTTCTCACAATTCTGGAGGCTGAAAAATCCAAGATCAAAGTGCCAACATGTTCACTGTCTGGTGATGGTCTGTTCTTCAAATATAGTGCCTGGGGCTGGGGTTGTGGCTCAGTGGTAGAGTGCTTGCCTAGCATGTGAGGCCCTGGGTTCAATCCTCAGCACCACATAAAGGGGCTGGGATTGTGGCTCAGTGGTAGAGTGCTCTCCTAGCATGGGCGGGATCCGGGTTTGATCCTCAGCACCACATAAAAAAAATAAAGGCAAAAATAAATAAATAAATAAATAAAGGCATTGTGTTGTGTCCATCTGCACCTAAAAAAATAAATATTAAAAAATATATATATAGAGAGAGTGCCACCTACTTGACCTCACAGTACAGAAAAGACAGAAGGGGCTGGGGATGTGGCTCAGTGGTTAAGTGCCCCTGAATTCAATCTCCGATACCAATAAAGGCTGGGGGCAGGGGTGCAGCAAGAACTGCAGAAGGGGAACTCTGAAGCCCCATTCCCATTTTTTGGTAGGGCAGTTTAACCCATTGCCTTGAGCATGCTCAAGGCAATGGGTTAAACTGTGCTCTGCCTCTGACCTACACCCTCAACCCTTTTTGTTTTATATTGAGACAGGGTCTCCCTAAGTTGCCAGGTTGATCTCAAACTTGTGATCCTCCTTCCTCAGCCTCCCAAGTTGTAGAATTATAGGTGTGTGCCACCACACCCACTGACCTCATCTTAATTAATTACATCAGCAAGGACCCTATTCCCAATTAAGGCACATTTTGAGGTACTAGGAGTTTGGATTTCAACATATAAATTTTTGGAGGACACAACTGAACCCATAACAGAGATGATGGAAGTTATGTTAGCCATAAACACTGAACAGATGGGGTGTGAAATGCCCAGAGAGGGAGGGAGGGAGGGAGGGAGGGAGGAGTGGATATTGTGAACCAAGGAGGCAGTGGCCATCAAGACTCCCCATAGGAAGGATAACAGGTGAGAATGGCTTGCTGCTGTCATGACTGCTGATGGAAGGTCTGCTGGAGAGGGGGAAGCTGAAGATCAAGACATGAGGTCATTTAAAGAACTAAGTCTTTGAGTCAGTGGGTGAGGATGCAGTGCAGAACCTAGGTAGAGGGACTGGCCACTAGGACAAAAGCAGGTGACAACCTCATTTTGATCACAAAGCTACAGCCACACAATTGCAATGCTGCCACCATGGCCCTTGTGGTGATAGTTTCTCCTGACAACTCCACCTGACCCTCCCCTCATGCGACTGAGCCATTCCTCAGTTACACAGTGACACCTTCACTGGAAACAGCAGTCGCAGCTCAGTGTCATTTGAACATCACTAACAATTCCGGAAGAGTTCACCCAGATATACCTTGATACATATAGTGCTTGAATCCCATACTATCACACACCTAGACGATCAAGCATACATTGGCCATACTCTCTCAAGCCCATGCCCACACTGGACACAGACACAAAATATCCCCACTGTGTCAAGTTCCTCTTACCCATGGCTGCATACACCAGCCACAATCACACATGAAAGGAGTAAATTATTCCATTCTATTTTGTCACATACATCTGCATCTCCCAAGCAGAGCCACTTGCACCCATGACATGACCACAGTTAAACCCTCTCATAGTACCAGCCTTGCCCTCTGTCTGCCTCTCTAGGTGTGTGTGTGTGTGTGTGTGTGTGTGTGTGTGTGTCTGTCACACACACCAGCCTCACCAGTCTGTTGGTCTCAGTGACACCGGTACCCCGCCCCTTCCTCCCGCGGGATCGCAGGGCTCCGTGGTCCGCGGGGGCAGGGGAGGCGGGCGGGGCGGCGGCTGGCGCAGCTCCGGACTCTGCCCGGCCCTGGGCGGCGGCTGCAACCAGGCGGGCGGGCGACGTGGAGCGGCCACGTGGAGCCGCCCGGGGGAGGGCAGGCGGCTGGTGGCAAGGCACCCGCGGCGCGGCAGCCTGGAGCTCGCACGAAGCCGAAGCCGGAGCCCCAGCCCGGCTCAGCGCCTCCGCAGCAGGTGGGTCCGACCACGCCCCGGGCGGGCTGTGGGCGGGTACCGGGTGCCAGGGCCAGGCGGCCTCCTGCCTCTGGTCGGGATCTTAAGAGCCAGTTCCTCTGCATCCCTGCGGCTTGGACCCAACTGGAGCTGGCCCTCGCCTCTTGGCACCGCTGGGAAGAGGTCATCCTTGAGAGCAGGTAGAGGAAGGGTCTGAAAAGCGCCCCCTGAGGCCCCTTGATGGGTCCCAGAATCCCCCCCGCCCGCCCCCAGCGCTTTTCCCTCGCGTATGGGAGGTGTTGCTCCAACAGCCCTGGCGGCTGGCGGCTGAGGGCAGCTGGCTGGAGATTCACCTCATCTGACAGATGGCGAGGTGGAGGTTTGGGAAGGGCCCAGGGTTATCTTCTAGCTGGAAGTGGTTGGGCCCAGACCAGCTCAGGTGTGCTGCACCTTTGACTGTAGACCACTCTCTCCTTTCTTACAAGTAAGGGTGGGGATGTTGGGAGGCCCAGTGGCATTGGATGGATAAATCAGAGGATTCAGTTCAGTTAACTTCCTAACAGTCGGACTTAGCTAGAAATGGAATGGACGCCCTGTGAGATGCTAGGTTCCTGTCCTGGGACGATTTGGGCAGAGATTGAATGGCCTTTTCATGGGGATACTGTGGAAAAAAATGTTGGCACTGAATGGGAAGTTACACAAGATAACCTAGAGCCCTGTCATGTCCTAGAGTATCTGAAATACTTAAGGAGCACCTGCTTGCTGCCAGTCACTTAGCCTACATTATCTCATTGCATCCTCCCCAAACCCTGGTGAGATTATATGAGCCTCATTTTAAAACCGAAGATCCCAGGACTCAGACAGGTTGAGCAGCCTGCCTAGATCACATAGCAGTGTCAGAGGTAGGATTTAATAAGAGGTCTAACCTCAAGGCTGAGCTCTCCTCCCATGCACTGGTGCAAAAGCTTGAAAAAATCTGAGGCAGGAGGGTCAATGTGAGTGTGTGTGTGTGTGTGTGTGTGTGTATGTGAATAACTTTACTGAATTATATCCTATTAAATAACAGTTATGGTGGCTTTATGTGTTTATTAGGCTAATTATGTTCATGAACATGATAATTATAGGAAATGCTTAGGAACATTTTTATTTGACAAACAGTGGTTCAAGGACTCCGTTATTTCTGTTGCTTACAAAAGCTTTTGTAAATGCTTTAAAATGTGTAAATAGGAACAAATTACATTATACCAACCTCATTACACATTACATGAGGCATTAACCTGACTTTCTTTGAACAATGGAGGTGGATTACTTGTACTAAAAATGTCACAGCTGGAAGCATTACTTAAGTGAATATAACATTAGAGCTGGGAATGTAGCTCAGTGATACAGCACTTGCCTAGAATGAATGACACCCCGTTTGCCCTGCAACACCACACACACACACACACACACACACACACACAATTTTAAAAAAAACCACACACACAAACAATATTACTCTAAAAGTTCACATGCAGTTATTTAAGTTTTTGAAGTGAACTACAATGTATGCCGAAGTTGTCAGAAGGGTCCAGGATATTTCAGATTGATGATGGAACAGTTTGGACCCAAGCCTTGGAAAGTGAAGTGAAAAGTTTTTTAGGAGACTGTTTTTGAAGCAGAGTGTTAGGGTAATAGAACACTGAAAGATGAATCAAAGATAACTTGATATCTATAGAAGGCCTTGAATGCTCAGGTAAGGACTCTGGATTGTAATAGAAATAGGAGCCATTGAAGAGTTTGGAGAAGGACATTGTTAGCAAATGAAGATTTATCTGATATGGGTGTGTATGAAGAATACACTAGAGGCAGAGACAGCAGTAAAAGAATACTATATTAGTGTGTGCACGAAGAAATTTACTATCCACTTAGTAGTTGCTACAACTATGTGTGGTAAATATTATCTCCAGTAAGCAGACAATGTAACTTAAGTTTGGTGAGGATAATTAACTGATCCAAGGTCACAGGATAATCAGTCAGTAGTGGAACTGGGAGCTGAAAATGGGTCCGGCTATTTCTGAAGCTATTCTCTGTCCTCTACACATATTAGATAGTTACATATGTAAGGGATGCATAGGACTGAGAGGAGGAGAGAGTTAGTGATTCATGTGGGTGGGGCTCAGAACCAGGTATCTAACTTGCAAGTCTTGGTGCAAAAATGATTGAGAATTTCAAGACAGTGACAGCACAGCATTAGACTAAGTACAAGGACCCAGCCCAACCCAGCAAGGCCCTATGTGACTACACAAGTTGCACACCCACGAGGCCAGCCCTTATGGAGTTGGTATTCTAATTCTTGAGTGAACACACTATCTTAAAATGTAATGACTTAAAATAGAAGATAGGGGAGTGTCCGTGTGTACTTTGGAATTCCACCAGGTGCTCTATTAATGCTTGCAAATGATCACCAGCCTGCAGACTCCACCCACTCTACCCCCAAGCATCAGACACCCTGAATGCATACTTGGGGCTGAAAATAGTCCTAGCCCTGGCATTGCTCCCTGGCAGAGTAGATTATTGGATAAACTCTTCACCTCCTAGCTGGGCCATGGGAATCCTCTCCTTTTTTTTTTTCCCCCCTCACATACAAACAGTGATGCATAGATTTTTCTCACTTTCTTTTCTACCTTTCTTTGGAGCTATTCTTATGCAGGTGTCTTAAAGGGGGCGGGGTGGCTTAGAGGCTTAAAATGGTTCTGTTGACTTTATTCTTGAGTGCAGTCTGGGTAGGGTAGTTGGAGACAAGTACATTTCTATTCTTTCAGTGTTTATTAGGACACCTTTAAGGCTGGGGATTGGAATTGGTAAAGGTTTGCTCACTGTCCATGGGAAGCTCTAGGTTCCCCAGGTATCTCTATCCCAATGTAGTTTTCCCACATGGCAGTGGGTAGGGGGGTGGAACTAGAACTAAGTGTAAACTACCTGGACCTGGCCATCACATGGCATCATTTCAACAATTCACTGGAGGCAAGCCACTAAACCCAAATCATATGCAACGGGAGGGGAAGGGAATTAGACTCCAGGTTTGGCAGGAATATAAAAAACTTTGTGGACATGTTTTTGGAACCATTATGGTTGGCCTGAGTAAGTAGATCAGTGGGGTTGGAGGGTGCTTCCCCCTTGTGCCCAAACTGCCACCACCAGAAAATCAGTCTTTGGAGTTCCCAAATGTCTCTTCTGAAAGGCAGCTGCTCGCAGATGGCAGTACACTAAGCCTATAATAAGTTTTGACAGCTCTGAAGGATGTAAATTACTCCAGTGACTCCTGGGGCCTAGGTCCCAGCAGAGAACAGATGGGGAGGAGAAAGCAATTAGAGAGGCTCCAGGTGGGAAGACAAGGAGGGAGGATATATGTGAAGCCACTGCAGAGCAGCCCAGGAGAACTTAAGAAGGAAAAAGTTCTAATTGTATAACAGGTGCTATACTTTACAGGCCTTGTCTCATTTCTTCCCTACAGGCCTTGTCTCATTTCTTCCCTACAG